GCTTTACATGAGCTAGCTCAAATACTAAAAAGCTGCAGCCTCGAAACATAAAAAATATGTTATGTTAGTTATGACAAGCTGACTTCATAACTAAATCCCACAGAGATTTATGTGACTGGTAAAGTCTGAACCAGAAGGTGCTCTCAGAAACCCTCTATCCAATTCAGCAGTTTGTCCTCCAAGACATGGGATACTGAGGTTCTACATGAGAGTGTTTGAACTCCCACCTCCCACCACCTGGAGAATATTCCATATAGTAGATGTTACACTATTTTGGAATAAGCTATTAAGCCAAGAGAGAGTGTACAGCCACGAACAGAATTCCTGTGTTCTTTTCCCACAAAGTTCTCAAAGTCCTCTCCAAAGGAACATACCCAGGTGTGTAACTGTTTGTAATACAGTTGTCACGGTAGTGTCCTAGGAGACCAGTGTCAAGAGACCTAGATACTAGTCCCTGAGTGTTTGTTCTCCAGGATTGAATCTTTCTTTATCCACTCCATGGTCTTAAATGAGGTGCTACCCAGAGATACCACATATTATAAGTGTTTATTAAGAAATCCCAACATTGATTTGCATGCTTTTCTGCCTGGCAATTTTTACAAAAGTTAACCATGAGGGGATGTGTGAATGTCAATAATCACTTGGGCTTATAACTTAGAAAAGTAAATTGTTGTAACAGGATGAGGATCAGAATGAATTAGTTGGAAAACTGTAATTTTATAAATCATTAAATAAAGTCTGGAGAAAAAAAATCACATTTTATAAGGATATCCAAGTTTATAAAGTAGAATAGCAAAATTATGTCAGTGTTCAGGATATAATACCGATTAACTGATTATCTTAACACATTTCCTCACTAAACCTTTGTTTTGCACTTTCCATCAAGACAGGACCACTGGAGATGTTCCAAACTTTATGAGCTGTGGATTCAAAAATTTATCTCTTCCCCTAAAAAAAATAAAAACAAAAAAAAACAGAAGAAAGGAAAAAAGGGGCATGAGCAAACAGGGTTTTATTCTTCATTCTGGTCATACTCAGCTTTATGAACATAAGGGATGGCTTTTCAAGATTTCCTCTTTCATCTAATCTTGGACAGTTTCCCTGGGGAAAAGGAAAACAAAACAATTCTAGAGAGAGCCACAAGCCAAACATTGTGGCCTACAGGCAACAGGTAATTAAAAAGTTAACACTGGGGCTGAAAGGGAAGATGAACTACAATGTCATCCATAGCTTGCTGTTATCCTGGGGCCTTGCAGACTGGGTTGCACTGATCTTGACTTGAATTTAGCAGGCCAGGCTATTTCACACTGCCAGGAGATGAGGTAAGTGTAGAGCATCTTTTCATGCAGTGTGGTGCAGTGCAAAGTCCTGTGTGTGTGTGCAGGGGACTGACAGGTTTGACCTTCTGTGTGCACACGGAGCCCCTCACCTGGCACTCCGGGATCCGGCTCTGTTGAGCTGAATGTGTAGGGTAGAATTTGGAGCTCTACACTGCAAACAAAGTGAAAAAAAAAAAAAAAAAAAAGGCAGTAATGGAAAGGTGAGGTTTTACATCAGGCTCCAGGTTTTAGCAATTGAGAGAAAGGGAAGAAGAAATAACAAAATAATGCATTATTGTGGAGATCCAGTGTCTTGGAAATGTCACCTTGTGCATCTTGTAATTTAATCTGATCTTATTTCTTGCAGGGCACAAGAAAAAGGAGTGACAAACTGCACACAAGGTTTTCCTTTAAAAAGTTCAGTTCATTTTTCTAAGGCTTTTACTTTTTCCCTGAGGACTGGTTGCTCTAGGTAAGAATCCCCATGTGTCCTTAGATGAAGGGCCCTGTGACTGAAAATCAGCCACTTATTATCTATATATAATGCTTCAGTAAATGAATGCTTGTGGAAAGATGCCTTGAAGAAACCCTGTGTCTCTCAGGCAGCTTTTTGTCTCTGTGGATTACAAACAAACCAGGCATTTTTATAGTACACATTTTTAATTAGCACCATAGTTATCTAAGTAAATAATGAGTAGATTAAAATACTCACTTAAAGAAATTACATTTAATTAAAACCAAAATAATGACTGAGAGGAATTCTCCAGCAGGAAGACAGTACCATGAGGAGTATTACTGCTCTTTGCTACACTAACCTCTATCCCTGCTCCACACCTCCTTAGGCTTTGCTGTTTTTCTGTTTGGCCCCAAAGGACAGAGGTGTTTTCCAGCTGCAGCACAAGACCTGGACTGCCCCAGTGTCAGAGCACCAGAACACACCATCCCCTTTGGTATCAGATGCCTTGTTTGCACTGCAGCAGTAACCTGGGAACCTGGGATGGCGCTGGTTCACCCAGGGATGTGACAGGTGAAAAGGTTCAGCTACCAAGCACTTCAGAGTTTCAAAGGCAGGAATGCTGGGGGCAGCTCACCCTCTGGCATCAGTTCTTCACTTCCATCTCATCTCATCTTGTACTAGATGTGGTCACACAGCACGACAGCACTTCACCAGCTCCTGCTGAAGAATGGCCCCAAAACACCGCTCAAGAATAATGGAAATGCGTGAATGTCTTGCACAGGAACAAGCTCAGGGAGTGACATCAGCACCCCCAACGTCAATTTGATGGTTGCATGTTCAGGCAATGATTCTGGGGTTGCCAGTGCTTAATTTTATAAACCTAAAAGTAGCACCATTGATTACATAAGAATTACTCATGCACATCTAATTAAAAGCTTGCTGGACCTAACATTTAAGTGTGTGTTTTATGTTTGTGTACACATTTTTGTATCAGACAACATTTGTATCCTGATCTTGCTAAACAAACATCTGAAATCATTGCTCTCATAGATACATAACTGGGAAGCTTAGAGTCTCATCAAGAGAGCCCGAGCAATGGGTTAAACCTAATCTTCATATCAGAAGGTGACTTCTTCTTTAGCAGTTGGGTTTTTTTTCTGTATAAGCCAGCTGTGTGAATGCAGGTGAGGCTTCAGGGCAATATTTTAAAGTGGGATCTCTGATGTGGGAATCTTAATACAGTTGACCTTTGATTTGAGAAGTGCTGGAGTGTTACTGTCTAATCAATATCTGGCTTGGCTGGTCTGCTTCAATTTTCTCCTCTGACAACTATTTATCTCTCAAGGGTGAGATGAAACTTCATAAATGTCGAGTGTGAGCTTTTGGACAGTTTAAAAGGTGCAAGGTTTTACTGGGCAGGATGATTGGAAAAGATGTTATTCTGGTGGAATTTTGCTGCTGCAAATTTCTTGCACACAGCAAATTAATATCATCCTATCAATATACTTTCAGTCACTAAGATACGTACTTACAGTAAAAAATACAAACTGCAGGGTTCAAATCCCTTGCAAATTGCTTCCAAGTTTTGTCTGGTGAAACAGTATCGTTACAGCAATGTGGAACAGAAAGAGCAAAGCAGCTTTATGTAACACAACTGCAAGCCATGGAAACAGAGCCTTGCAGAAAGTGCAACTCATACTTGAATTTGGCAGGGACAGAGTGACAAATATACTTGCACTTCAGAGAAATGGCATATGAATTTTAGTGTGTCGTGGTCAGGACCCTGTTCTACATCTGATGACAAAGAAGGAGCATGAATATTGAGTGTATCAGTTAAGCTTCTGGCTTAAGGCCACTCTCCAGGCAACGTGCCATAGCTATGAAATCACTGTTATTTTCGACTTCACATTAGATGAATAGGGTACTGCAAGCTGTTTGAAACTCAGCTTCAATGTATTTAAATGTTTTGAAATAATGCCTAGCATTTGATACAGAGTTTTGTTAACATTAGCTTTCCAAAGTGCCTGATAAAAATAGTTTTATTCCCCGCTGTTTTAATGTTATTTTTCTAATTAAATGCAGATGCTTAAACCATCAGTATTCTCCACAAGATTTAGTTGTTCAGACATTATATCATCTATTTTAATCCTGAATTATGTTCTAAATTTTTAACTGAACACTAAACACTGTGGCAGATACGATTATGACTCGTTGCTGTATATCATAATTCCCCAGGAACAAATGGAAACATAAAACCACTTCTCTTTAAGTCAGTGTCAAAGTTGTCATGGGCTTCACTGAGAACTACATTTGGTCACAAATGCCCAGGTCTTTGCTGCTTAAAATAATCTCCTGTGGCTCCTAAGTCACAAAGGCCCAGAAGCTGCAGACAGGTATCAGTATGTTGTGAGTGTTGGTGCTGAACAGAGTTTTGTTTTCTTAAGCAGCAGCTGTTTTCAGAGCAAAATCACAGAATCACAGAATTGTGATCATCTAATCCAAGCCCCCTGGCCAAGGCAGAGTCACCCGGAGTAGGCGACACAGGAACGCATCCGTCTGGGAAGACTTTTTCCAGTGGAAGATCTCGAAGAAATCACTGTCTGACAACACGTTTCAACACCCGATTTTAACCAAGCGGCAGTTCATGACAATTCTGCCAGCAGCAGGAAGAGAGCAGGGTGCCAGGTCCTCCCAGCACCTGTTCCTTGCCGTGGGATACCCACACGCTGAGCACTTGCATTTTCACTTCAAACCAGCGGCTATTTAGCATCTTTATTCCGACACGTGCGCGCTTTGCATTTTTTACAAGAAAGCAAAGAGATAAAACAATCAAGTCGCGAAGCAGCTTCACTCCGGTAGAAAAGGGGAGTCTCAGGCGCTGAGGCTCAGCCTGAGGGCGCCGAGCCCTGACAGGGAGGTGGGATTTCACCCAAACCCCTGCAGGAGGCTGCTGGGACTCGGGTCGCTCGGGCCCACGCACCACCCTCGCAAAACAGAATCGGCATCTCGAGGCGGTGAAGCAGCGGGGACCATCGCAGCGCAGGCCCGGGGCGGCCCACCACTGCCCCACCGCTGCCCTAGCTCCATCCCTCCATCCCACCTCAGCCCTCACCCCGGCCCCTCTCCCCGCCTCCCCCGTCCCGACACGTCACTTCCCGGGGCGGCCGCAGCGCCGGCAGCGCCGGGTCTGAGCGGCCGCGCTGTGATGGCGGCGGCGGGGCGGCGGCAGCCGCGGCTCCCCGGGGCTGTGCCGCTCCTGACTCGGCCCCGCGCCATGGGGAGCAGCCGCGGCGGGCGGCTCGCCTGAGGCGGCGGCGGCGGCGACAGCGGAGGGCGCGGCAGTGCCGAGGGAGCCCCGCCGCGGGGGCCGCGACCCGCGCCGCCGGGGATGCTGCGCTGGGTCCGGCAGCAGCTGGTAGGTGCCTCCCACACGGGCCCCCCGCGCTCCCCGGCCCCGCCGAGCCCCGGCTCGGCCCCGGGCCGCGGCGTCGGGAGCAGCGTGCGAGCAGGGCCGGGGTGCGGGAGGGAGGGGAGTCCTTCCCCCCCGCAGGGGCTGCGCTTGGATCCTAATTATCATTTTTAAAAACATTACTTTTTTATTTTTATCGGAGGTTTTGCGGTGTTTGTTTTATTTATTTATTTATTTATTTTTGTTTCCTTTTCTCGAAACCCGCCTTGTCACAGGGGACAGCGCGTTCCCCTTACCTGTGTCCTCCCCTCGTTGGGAAGGGCTCCCCAAAACTTCCCTGAGGAATGACGGTGCCTTTATTCCCTGGACCGGCACTTGAGAGATTCGCAGCTTCTTCCTCCTTCCCGTTGCGAAATCTTTTCAAGGCTCTTTAACCCGACGCGCTTTCATCTCGTTTATTTCCCGGTCCCTGAGAGCTTTGCAGCCGCTCTGTGCGTGCAAAGGCTTTTGGAAGTGACGAGAAATGGAAGGAAAACGTCCGTGAAATGCGTTTGGCGAGAGAAAACACTTGGAAAAGGCAGCGGTGAGGGTGCCTGTCCCCCCACACAGGCACTGCTTGCTGTGCAGTGTTAGAGCGAGCGAGGGAGACCGGGCGGCCGAGGCTGTGCTGCCTTAGCAGGGAATTACATCGAGTTTGACTGTTTTCATTTGAAGTATTGGCCGGCTTCCTGCCACGTCCAGCATTGTTTCTCTTGCATTTTCTCTAAAAGAGAAATTCTTTCTAAGAAATGTAATTGTAAAATAACTTTTTCCACTCATTTGAGTGCATTTGCCTTGCATCACAGATTTTGCCCCCGTTAGTACGAGAACTTGCATTAGTTAGGTTTTTAGATTTCAGTGGTTAAAGCTTCTGTCCCACCAGTGATTTGTTTAATTTTTTGCATCTTTTTTTACAAAAAAAAAAAAAAGATAAAATTTGTTGTGTTTTCTTCTTTTCTCAGTTTCTTCCCTGACCTCGTTTCCTATGGCCCATAGATTTTCTCAGTTCTCTGTCTGAAGCACAGAGCTTGTGGTGATGGTCTGAGTGCCAGCTTGACAGTGCTCACTAGTTTGGTCCAACACCAAGAGTTACTGACCTGGAAATTAATTGCTCTGTTTGAGCTCTGACTGCACTCTTCTGTTACAGTCATACACATGTTTTTTTGAAGAAAGCCTGGTTGGTATAACATAACTGTCATTTTTTCCATTTGAAGGTGGCTTGAGGTTTGTGTTTGTGGTTTTCAAAGCAGCATTATGCAGTCTTCTGTAGAGTTTAGATTAGGACTGTATCAGTGCTAGCAATTCATATATCAAATAATGGTTGCTTTTCTCCCCAGGAGTACACTGACCAGCTTTCCAGAAATCTGTTTGCCCTTAATCGAAAGTAAAAGCTTAGTGTAATAAGATGAGCAATAAACCTGGCACTGGTTTTTGTGCTTCTAAAGGAAACTGATGGGAAAATGATTGTTTAAAGCTTGCACTAGTTTTGACAGGGAAGGATTAGTGTAGTAGAAAAACAGGATAATAAAGGTCAAGTTTCTTGAACAGACATTTAAATATGGTACTAAGGGGTAAAAAAATTCTTGCAATGATACATGTTTTGTGTTTTCTGGAGATGTCACTAATGTTAATGGCTCGGTTGTTTCATAGCTCATAAGGATGAAAAATGGCCTAAGATAGGTATCACACTGCATTTTCTTTCTAAGGACACTCAAACAACTCATCCCTGTGTGTAATCGTTGGTGTAACACAGATCCCACCGTGCATTTGGTTCTTCTCATGGCTGTGATGTTTAGTTTCTGAAAGAATGTCAAAGGACTGAGTACATGGGGAAAAATGCTGACAAAATAACCAGAGTGAGTGGGAAGAGTGGGGTGACAGAAATATCTGAATCAAAGGGTGCCAAAATTTATGTCTGATAGGAGAAGAATGTGTGGGTTTGGATGCCTTTAGAGTGTGCATTTGTACCTGTGCTTGATGTGGCATTGGGCTTTAAAAAAGTGTTCTCATCCATACAGGAGGGTTGGAACCAGGCAAATATGTGGGAATGATGTGAGTGGGATGTTGTAGTAATACAAAAGAAAAACGTTGGTGTGCAGAAATGCTCGAAAAGTAGTAAGAGATTAGGGGAAGGGGGAGGGACTGATACTTTGCTGAAGGTGCTTTTAGGTAGTTATTAAATACTCTCTGCATGAAACCAGTGAGTTGTTCTGCAACTTCTTATTTGTTTAAGAGAACAGTATTTAATATACCAAGTGTCCTAAGTGTATATGGTCTTGAGAACTTGCATTTTCGAGAGTTGTAAAAGGAACAGGGAAAATGAAGCAGATGATCTTAAAGTAATGAGAAGACCTGATATGGAGTTCAGATTATTTCACCTAAGTTCTTTAAGTGGTGATGTCACTGTGCTTTAAATCTGTGCATGCCTGTAGACCTACAGAAAGGGATGACCAGTCCTCTGAGAAGGGGAGACATGCTGAGAATGTGAGATGTCCTTCATCTTTGTAATGGTCTTACAAGTCCGTAACAGTTTTCTAACTGAGGTGTTCCATATTTTTTTCAGTGATTTGTTGTATATCAGGAATTGAATTACAGTAATTCTGTTGCTCAGTGTTCAGTGCCTATGTGACACAAATTGTCAGGTTGTTTGGTATCTTGGCCCTCAGTCTGATTTTTTGTTCAGAAAGAATTCACATCACTCTACAGAGACAGTTTATCAGTTTTTCTTCATCTATTGCTGTCCCATTCTAAATAGACTGCACAGTAATTCATTAACTTTCTAGTTAATATTAAAAAGATACAATTATCTAGTTAATAGTTGGATGTACTTAAGTTTTAGTAATGAAAAATGTAGAGACAAGTGGAGTTACAATTCATGGCTTTGAGTAAAATGCCCTGAGGTACTTCAAAGACAAGCTTTGCACAGGAAAGATTCCTGGGTTCCAGCTCTGTTACCTTGAGATCTCAGAAAGGCAGGAGGGATGTGGATTTGCTGAGGGTTGCATAACACCATAGGCACAGCCAACTCTGCTTGGAAAAAGCAACTGGATAAACAACAGTTGATAGGAAGCATCACTAATATTCAGGAATAGCATTGTAAGTTTTATTTGCATTTCCAGATGGGATGGGTTAGATGACATAGCTGATCTGTGAATAGCAGAGGGACATTGTGGCTCCCCTGGTCAAGCTTGTGCAGCACCAACACAAAACGAGAGTTCAAAGGGTCATTTGTAACGCTCGGTGGCTTTCTGTTCCACTTCTGGTTTTGTGGGTTTGTGACAGTGTTTGGACCGTGCTGGGGTGCTGGTGGTGCACATGGAGTGTAGGGGCTGTTGCAGTGGTATTGACAGAAAGTAATGATACCTTCAGTTGTCTGGTGAGGTGGTATCCAAAAATTGTTGTAGAATACCTTTGTATGTATGATTTTAGTGGGGTTATTTTAAACTATTAGTCCTGTCACGTGAAGAAGGGTCTCTGGTTTTTCTGTCTGGTTCCTATTATGAGAAGTTTTAGCCTTTTGATCTGTTATCTGTCATCTCAATGAAGTACAAAAAATACTGCATGGAGAAAACCTAAGAGCTGCCTGCCTGATCCCTCTTCTATACATGGTAAGTTCAAGACAAGCAGAGTTGAGCTGTATTTGATAGAGAATCTTTACAATTTAAGAACCTCAGTGCTGTTGTGCACTGACAGCAACTTTTACGTGAGGTATTCAGGCAAATGCAGCTTTGCTGTTTAACTGTAAGTCGAAAATAAAATGTATGGATAAACCAGAAAACCTAGTTACCAGACTCAATTTTATTTCATGGTTATAGGAAGGCTCAGACTGGGAGGAAAGTTTAGAGTTTGTAAAGTGCAAAAGTTCTACATGGCCTGCACTGAGGGCTGACCACAGGGAATGTTTTTGACTGTTTTGTTTCGCGAGTCCTTGTCACATCCCCTTTGCTTCCAGGTGTTGGTATCTGTTAAGATGTTCTGAGAGAACAGATGGTATTTTGAGATAACTTGCAGTTATTGGCATTGTGAGCAAGGTGGACAGCATTTGATCTCATTGTTTGCACTGGCACGTGTTTATTATTTTCACTTAATCATTTTGTTGAATGAATTGAATCAATACAGTTACCCCCCCAAAAAAAAACCCCAAAACAAACAAAACCCAAAGCAATTCCCTGTATTTTTTGAATGCTCAAAGTAGTTTAAACTAATCTAATGACTGAGAATCTAACTTCTTAAATCGCCTTGCTTTTCTGGAGTATAATTTTCCCCCTCTTACTTGTCATTGAAGCCTCTTACCCTTTTTGGCTAAAATTAAATGGGTGTTTGTTATTGTATACTAGAAAAATAAATGCTTCTTTTCTCAGCAGAGTTCCCATGGTTCAGACTGCCCAGCTAATACCTCCTGAATTGTCACTGCAGGATCAGCGAGGTGCATGTTAGAACAGGCCAGAGGTGGCATTGCCTTGGTAGAGCAGCTTGAACACTGGGGGTTGGTGACTCCCCTCCTGTAACTTTGCACAGAAGAAAATGTGGCCTGTTTTGTTTTGTTTTGTTTTTTTTGCTAGAGATATTCTTTGATCTGCTGGACTAGTCCTCCCATTGTGTTTGGGTCTTCTACCCTTTATTTTCTTTCTGTATTCTGAGGCTGCTGAAGGCTGATCCATTCTCAGCACAGAGTGTTCCAAAGCGTGCAAGAACCTGGCCCTGCATTCAGCCAGCTAGCTGTCTGTTCCAAGTGGAGACATCCACTCTGTCCTAGGTGTGATTTTTAAGTCTTACCTCGTAAAAATTAAACCCTAAATTTAAAAATTGCCTACCCCAACCTAATCAAACTGGTCATGACGCTGGGTCTTTCAAAGGCCTTTTAAAAATAGGAAGATCAGCATTGTCCGATGTGCTGCCTTGCTGTGGGACTTGGATTTCTTTTTTTTTTAAGCAGCAGATTTTTTGTTGTGCTAAATTTCCACTTG